GCTGCTTAATACTGCAATAATTACTGCTTAGTTCAGGTCAAGTCCAAAAGTGGCATTCTTTTACTTTTCTTTTCTCTTTAGGCAACACTTTAGCAGATCTGGCCTAGATGCCAAGCTGCGAGCCATCCAGACGGTATCTGTGCTCCTTCAAGGACCAAGCGACGTGGGTAACAGAACTCTGGAGATGTCGGGGATGATTGATGCGGTGATCTCTCTGTGTGCCTCCGAAGATGTAACTCACCAGCAGGTAGCGGTGGAGGCTCTCATCCATGCTGCAGGCAAGGCCAAGAGAGCCTCCTTCATCACAGCCAATGGTGTGGCACTTCTGAAGGACCTCTACAAGAAGAGCGAGAATGACAGGATACGTGTGAGAGCCCTGGTGGTAAGTGCTATAGCAAAGCAAGTATATTTATTTCAGACAGCTGGAGAAAAGAAGATCTCTAAATATAGATAAATGACCTACGCTTTCTGATGGTTATTACACAGGGTTTGTGCAAGCTAGGATCAGCAGGAGGGACAGATTTCAGCATGAAGCAGTTTGCAGAGGGATCCACGCTAAAGCTTGCCAAGCAGTGCAGGAAGTATGTTTGTGCTAAAAGAAATTGGGTATAGATTAAGAGAAATGTGTGGTTTAAAAAACAACAGATAGTGAGCGCTTTCTTCAATTTTGAAATAAGCAGCAAGCGATATCTTTTTCTTTTTTAGGTGGCTGTGTAACGAGTCTCTGCCCCCAACCTCTCGCCGGTGGTCTGTGGAAGGACTCGCCTACCTCACCTTTGATGCTGATGTGAAGGAGGACTTGGTGGAAGACAAGAACGCTCTCTTGGCCATGTGTGAACTAGCAAAGGTTTGATTGATGTTTTCATACTTTGTAGTTATTCTGATATTTATTCTTCTGTAGTATTTTTAACCATCGCCATGAGAATATATCTTTTTATAGTGGTGACTGGAATAGCTTTGACAACCTTGTTTTTTCTTGCTGTTCCTGCAGTCTGAGGATAAGACGGTCCTCTTTGCTGTGGGCTCCACATTAGTAAATTGCACCAACAGCTATGAAGTGGAGAAGCCAGACCCCCAGATGGTTGAGCTGGCCAAGTATGCAAAGCAGCACATACCCGAGGAGCATCCCAAGGTACCATTTAAATGTCTCTTTTTACATCACACAATATTTCTTTTAATATTGCACAGTAGCTTGTACTGCTTTACTTTTTACATAAACCTGCTTGTCTTGTCATGTGTCAGGATGCACCGTCCTATGTGGAGAAAAGACTGGGGAAGCTGCTGGAGGCTGGTGTGGTGTCTGCCTTGGTGTGTATGGTCAAACAGGAGAGTCCTGCCCTCACCGAGGCTTGTAGGGAGTGTATCGCCAGGTACGAAAAAATGGCAGTAAGTCTTTTTCACTCAATGTTCTCTCTGTAGATGGATTTTCTGTTAATGCCATTTCTCACTGCAGGGTCTTTTTGGCTCTGGTGGAACGGCAGGAAGACCGAGGCACAGTGGTGGCACAGGGTGGAGGAAAGGTAGAACACCCTCATAAATATACTTAGCTTTGCCTGCACACTAATCTATTTACCTTGCTGCAGGAGGTTTGCATGATTTATGTTTACTTTTCTCCTCCACAGGCTTTGATCCCACTGGCATCTGACAACACAGATGTAGGTAAAATCAAAGCAGCACAAGCCCTGGCAAAAATAACCATCACATCCAACCCAGAGATTGCTTTCCCAGGGGAGAGGGTAAGAATTTAATCCTGTAAAAAGGCCTCTTCAGTAAAAAAAGAATGAAAAAAGCTAAAGAATTTATCTGATTTTACCTTGTCTCACTTCTTGTTGTCAGATCTATGAGGTGGTGCGTCCCCTCAACAGTCTTCTGAGTCTTGAATGCACCCTGCTGCAGAACTTTGAGGCGCTCATGGCTCTCACCAACTTGGCCGGCATCAGTGAGAGACTCAGGTTGGCCACTAGGGGGAAGCCTCTCCTAGAAATACATGTACAAAATACATAGTTGCAACAGGACAAGATTTGAACTTGTTTGCAGAAGCCAGACCTCAGTTTAATTCTTCTGTTTTATTTACAGTATATACATTTGAAAAATCTACTTTACTTAACATAATTGGATTGAAATGAGCTTGAATACACATGCATGTGGCATTTTTATGGTTAAACACGTGTAAAAAATTATCTTACCAGAACTGTTTTTAGGACTACTAATAGTTTTGCATTGCCAATACACCCCTTCAGTGTATAGGCATATGTCATGGTGCTGTTATTATTTTTTTTATTGTTCTTGGGTTTTATCCAGTCAAAGCTTTACACTCTAATGCTTTTGCTAATGTATATTTAATTCTCACATCACAGTTTTGCATCAGTGCTTAGAGAATCTGCTTGTATTAATGAAGTATGTTGTTTCACAGACAAAAGATCATAAAGGAGAAGGCAGTACCAAAAATTGAAGGATACATGTTTGAGGAGCACGAGCTGGTCCGAGCTTCTGCCACAGAGTGCATGTGTAATTTGGTTTTAAGCACAGAGGTAAGATATGTTCGTAGATGATTGTATGGCACAAATATGTTGAAAAGTTGGAAGTAAAAGCAGCGGCTGCTCGTTGTGTCTTCAGGTGCAGAAGCTCTATCTGGCCACGGGGAACGATCGCCTGAAGCTTCTTGTGCTCTACTGCGGAGAGGAAGACGAGAGGCTGCGGAAAGCTGCTGCGGGAACTCTGGCCATGCTGACTGCTGAGCAGCCTGAGCTCTGCGCCCGCATCCCTGGAACAGTAAGCACACATCCATCAACTCAGCACTGCCACATGCTAAAATCATTCATTTCTCTATTTTAGCTCATACGACTCCCCGTTGTCCTTTCTTCTCTCAGACGACCCACTGGCTAGAGATTGTACAGGCGCTGTTGCTCAGTGAAATATCCGACCTGCGTCATCGTGGAGTGGTCATAGTTCATAACATGATGCAGGCGGAGAAGAGTCTGGCAGACACGCTCATGGAGAGTGAAGTGCTGGAGATTCTTTCTGTTTTGGCGAAGGGCGGAGAGGCCATGCCGGCAGCTGTTGCTAAGGTAGCGCAGAACTGTCTGGACAAGGCCGTGGAGTACAACATCATCAAGACCAGGGAAGGGAAGGAAAACAGCAAAGGAACTGAGCCCTAAAAACACAGGTGCACGATGTGGATGCGCCTCGGGGGAATTTTTAAGTGCTTCCAAGTATTATGTGGGACCAGTGAAGTCATTTCACTTTTGCAGGAAATCAGATTTGGTATGGATGGGAACAAGCTGATCCTGAAATACTCGTGTCTTAACTAAAAACTGTGAAAAGCAATATAAGAAATTACTGAAGAAAGATATTAAATGAAAACCAGCTGATACTCACAGAGGTGTTTTGTGACAAATTAGCTTTGATTGCGGTTTCACATTGCTTTTCCACTGATTGTATTTATCTTCATTATACTCGTATGTTCCACTTAAGGCTACTCTATACATTCTTTGCCATTGCCATTCCTAGATATTTACAAATGTTTTTATTTGTGTAATTATTAGTCTTCAAAACTGTCTTTTTTCCCATTTTATACACTACTATTCTCATTCCTAAAATTTGCTCTTAACAACACACCAAAAACATTCACGTCTTCACATAATTTTGAGATTTTTCTTTTCAATGTTTATTATAGTCACAGTCAGTTTTTTTTACAATTGCTAAAGTGTTTACCTATACACAGCAACACATCTACATCATGCTGATTTGTGCTGAAAAACACATTAAATACCAACTCTACATTTCAAAATGCAAAAAACCTTTCTCTACATAAACTAGCTCTATCAAAACAGTCATCATGTCTCAGTTCTACCTGCATACAGACAATATAAAAATCCATTGTTTGTTATAAATTAGTTTTCCTCTGCTGTAAACCACTCTAGGTTTTTTTTATTGAGTGTCGTATCCTGTGCAGGTTAAAGTGAAGAGTCATCTTTACAGAGTGTACCCACTGCCAGCAGAAAAAACATTGTGTCAGAATGGCTGCAGTAAAGACTTTATTGGTGTCATGAAATTACTGCCAGTGATCTACAAACAATTCAACATACCTTTGGTTTCAAATTGGTAAAAAAATAAAATGTCACTTGTCCTGATCTAACTAATCTTCACTCTGGTCTTCTTCCTCTCCTTTACATAGCTGTTTCTCTCTCTGCAGGCAAAATCTGTTTGTTTTTAATCTGTTAGAATAAATAACACTTATTTATGAAATCCTTGCTAGAGGTTTGACAGCCCCATAGAAATGGTGAGATCTGTAAATGTTTTTTTTTTAATGTAATTTTTGTTAAGTAAGTTTTTAGATTTTTTAAAAAAGTTTGCTTACATTTGAGGAATTTCACAAACATATATTGCATGACTGGAGGATAATATGATCTATCCAAACTTCCCTTTGCATGGCTCCACCTTGTGGAACACAGTTGATATTGAAACTTGACGCAAGATTGTTATGAAGAAAACGTAACTTGATGATACAAATTTGTGATATAAATTACAATAAGCTGTGTTGTTTTACCCATTTTTTAAAGTTTCTTTAGAAACTGTTCTTCATACAGTTGATCAGAAATACTTTAAAAGTATTAATTTCAATAATAATTACAACAACAATATCCAGGCTAATCTATTCATAGACATTTATGTCCGTTTTGACAGAATATTCACAATTTTTTTTAAAAACAAGTAGCTTATCCCCCATTTGACTCCATACTACTTGTATTGTCTATGGACAGTCTTTGCAAATAAAATTAAACATAATCATCAAAATGGGTAAATAACAAATGAAAATCCTGGATTAAACATTTAGAATTTGTAATCTAAAAAAAAAAAAGTTAAACAAACTAGTTGCATACATTATTCTCCAGTGATGAGCTCCTCTCTGCTCAGTTCACCCAGCTTCACTGTCCAGTGCGCCGATAGTGGAGCGCATGCGCAGTACAACGACATAAACACAAACCAACCAGTGTTGAAACTTTGCGGGTAACTGCGTTGCACGGCTCAGCTGTGCTTCAATGAGAAACCAAACAGGGGAAACGCGTTTCCAATGCGGTGGTTCGGGTTTGGTTTCAACGCATTTGGACAGATATATGTCCATGATAAATTAATTAAAGGAGAGTGTAGCGACGCTGTTAATGAAATCAAAGTGATTAGCCCAACAGAGCTACCCGGTAATGCGGACTGCTGCTGGGAGACTGAGAGTCAGATTAGAGCCAGTTGGAGTCGAAGAGCATATTTGCAATTGCATGGTAAGTTTTTTATCAGAGTTAAAGCAACAGCTCTGGTTGCACACCCTTATACCACCTGTGTAGAAGCGATCTGCTCGTCATTTGAACCCATGTATTACTTTTGATCTCAGGTGACAGCTGTGTGTGGCTGGCAGGTTTCGGGGCAGTCCTCTCCAATGAGTCCTGTAGCAGCTGTATGAAGGAGAGCCGTGGCTGTAAGGATGCCTTCATCACTGAGTCCTACTTGACCCTCGCTTTCCCAGACAGAATTGAGTCCTGGGATCTGCAGAAAGAAGAGGAGACTCCATCATGGAGCATGGAAATAAAAAAGGAGAGCTCTGGTAATGTTTATCCTAATCCCATTTGACAGCTATTAGAAGTATGTTGTTGTAACTGATTGAAGCTGCTTTCCAGGACCCCCTTTGAATCTCCCATTGGTCCCTGGGGGTTACATAGCCACAAAAGCACCCTTCTACCGCTCTTTATCGCCACACCTGAAAGCCAAGAGTCTGGCACTGAGTGCAGAGCACGCCATCCTTCTCAGTGCCTCTGGAGCTGTGTACACCTGGGGACTGGGCAGGTAGGCCCTAATACTCACACACCTGTCTGACACCCTCATGCGTCTCTTGCACGCATGTCTTGATCTTTTGTGTGTGCATCGGTTTAATCGACAGCCATGGTCAGCTGGGGCATGGGGGCCTCACCTCTGAGGAGGAGCCCAGGGCAGTGGAGGCACTCTGGGGGATGCCCATGAGCTGTGTAGCTACAGGAAGCTGGCACTCTGTCTGCATTAGTGGTGAGTGTGATACAGGATGCTGGCAGTGAAAATGGTCATGTCCTCATCTTGAGAAAAAAAAAAAGAGCTCAGATGGCCTTTTTCTTTAGATGGAGGTGATCTATATGTGTGGGGCTGGAATGAAACAGGCCAGCTTGGACTTCCATCACGAGGTCTGAGGAAAGCACTGCAGCTGCAATGCAGCCAACAAGCAGGTAAATCTGTTTTATTATCAAATGAAGTATTTTAAAAATACAGGAAAGGGACTTTTCACTGACATTTCTTCTTCTATTAATCCAAATACATGTGTGTAATTAGCTGAGGTGTACCTCACACCAGTACACTGCACTCAATCGCAATGTTTTTTGTGTGGCATGGCCATAGTTTCAATACTCCATGCTTCAACAGAAAAAAATCCACAACATCTATAAAGGATGCTGCAGTCTTTAAAGTGATTAACTCTGAACAGAAAAAGAAATGTGGATTCATCATCAAACTCCATTGTATTAATGAGCCACAGTTGATCCATCCAACTTTACAAACTATTTAAATATACAGACAGCACTTGAGCTTTGTGAAATGCTTTATATTGTTCATTAATGAACCACCCCCCCTTGATTGTAAAAAAAAAAAAAGTCATATATGTAGCCAGGTATGCTGCTCATAGTAGCCACTTACAGTGATGACTTGAAGGACCAGTTGTAGGGTTTAGTGGGCTCGAGCAGTTGCAGATTGCAAATTCCAAGTGTGTAGAAGAAATTACGGTGCACGCAAAACTTATAAAACACAAAAGGTCCTATATAGATCCAGTGTTTGGTTTGTCCATTCTGGGCTACAGTGGAAATGTCTGTCCCTCTGTAGCTCATTCTAAGGCAGTGGTTCTCACACTGTGGGGCACAGAGCCAATGATATGGAGTGGATCAAAGTTTAATTAATATGATTTATGTCAGGAAAATAAACAACATGTTTTCTGCTGCTACTGTGCTGACTTTTATTCCACTAAAATCCTATTGGATCCTTTTTTATTAGCTTTTTTATTGTTAATGATGGCTAAAAAATGTGGGGTGTGAACTTGTTTGCAGAAGGTTGGACAAACACTGTTTTAATTTATTCTTATTATTAGATAATTCTACTCTAATGAAAACATATCTCAGAATATTATATTCAGTTTCTGGCAATAGATCCTAGACATGTTACTCACTGGACCTTTTAAGTTGCAGTAAGTAGTAAGAACTGCAACACAAACTCTACAGGAACAGGAGCTCCATGCCAAGATGGTAGCACTTCTCCTAAAGAGCCACAAGAGGGAGAGAAACTCGACGAGGTATTCATATCGATCCAGGCATTTCCGGCTCTGCTGGATATCACTCCATCCTGTGAAATCAGGACAGTCAGCTGTGGCTCCCGCCACACAGCTGCAGTAACAAGTAAGAACCCTCACTTGGCATTGGGTGTATGTATATTGATGCACGTTTTCTTGCTAAATCAGTGTCATCGTCATCTTTATCTTATATTTTATCATTTCAGCAACAGGTGACCTCTACACTTGGGGCTGGGGTAAGTTTCAATTTGTAGTTCAACAGATTGTTTTATCTGTGTTACACCTTTGTACCAGTGAACCAGTAATCTTAAGAGCCCAACCGGTTGAACTTACCCTGTTTATTATTCCTTCTGTTACCATTTCAGGTGACTACGGCCAACTTGGACACCAGAATTTAATCAGTTCGGATGAACCCCAACGTGTGGAGTTCTTCAGGGAGCGGCAGATGTGTGTTTTTGATGTTGTGTGTGGGCCGTGGAACACTTTTGCTGCTGTTATCAAGGAGGAAGTAGCTTAAAAATACATTGATAAATGTGGACACTGGACTTTGGACAACAAACCGGGAAATGAACTTTGACTTTGAATCAAATGTATTTTGTTATATAAAAATAGAAGTTCCTCTCATTTTTTTCTGTGTAAAAAAGAAACTTTGTTTGAGTAGTAAATATTTTTAATTTTCTGTATAGAAATAAAAATATCAGATTTTGTATTTCACAAACGGTACATAAAACAGTTAAGGCGGTAAAATCCATAGGTTAATATAATTTAAGGCAAATATCTAAAATTGTTCTAAATGAAAATTAAACACAATATGGGAATTAAAGAGTGGTGCATTTCCACAGCCCACTAAAGGTCTTCACAGCACAATCTTGAAAGAACTGTGGAGAAATGAAAACATGATAGAAGCAGTTAGAGAGAACAAAATTGTGTTGAGTAAAATACATATCGGTGATGAGTTATTAGATTTCTAGTCACCTGACGAAATCTGGCGATCTTGAAATGACATGCTGAAACTCTGAGAGGTTCACGGTTCCATCCTTATCAATGTCCGACTCCTCAAGAATCTGAAAAACGACAAAGGAAACAACGGTTAAAGCCTGCAACAACATCAGTGTTTCTCCCAACAGCTTTTGAAGAGGAGACGCCTCAAGTGAAACTCACATTGTTGATGAGCTGTCTCATTTCTTCTGTTGTTAGTCTAGTGTCTTCTGTCTCGCCGGTCAGGTGGTTAACCAGCTTCTCGAGATCGCCGCAATCGAGAGTTCCATCGTCGTCAAAGTCTGAAAGCATCAACGTGCTTATTACACAGGCGTATAGCGTTACGGGAATGATTAATAACCAGCTATCTTTAACTTATTTACCAAATATGCGGAAGGCATAGTGGGACTTTATCTCCAGAGTAGCGGAGTCGCTGAAGGCACTCAAGAGATCCAGGAAGTCCTCAAATGTGAGGCTTCCATCTTTCTGTTCAGATGTTGAGAATACATGGCAGATTCTTTTCTGGAAAGGGTTGGACTGTAGGAACAAGTACAAGGGTCAGTACTGGTTATCAGTAGCACTTCCTCAAGAACACAGAAAGCACAGGACAATCCCGGTCGTACATAGTCATCATAGTGAGAAGACCACAAAGCAGTCCACACAGCCCCACATTTCCTCCGTTTAACTATCAAATAGCTTTTCACCTTGAGCTCTGGTAGAGTGAGAAGCCTCTCCATTGGTACTCTGGTGTTTGGACAGTCTTTCTCCTCTTTTGTGAGCAATTCGGTGAATCTCTTGTGAGCACTAAACAGGCAAACAAAAAAGCTCAATCATTAAAATGCTTCTTTTATCTTAAACTGGTGACATATTCATGACATGCAGCTGATCACTCACAGAAGGATTTCTTGTTTTGTCAAGAACGTCAGCTCCTAAAAGCGAAAGTGCAGCATTATTAGAATAACAGTCACAGATTATTGTTGTGTGTCTGACTTCCTGTAACAACATGATGGGTTGACTTAGCTCTCACTAGCTCCATTAGCGCAAAGTGGCTGTTCAACGAAGCTGCTTTTAACATTACGTTCAGTTTAAAACGGGGAATACTACAAACACAGACGACCAAGTTAGTAAATGATGCAGTTCTTCTGTTGACAATGCTCTCATAGTTTTCTTTACGCTGTTATAGCCCTTTACCCCGTTACGTTATCCTCGGTTATTATTATGGTGCGTAACAAACACTGCTCTAAACTTTAAGCCCCTCGGTTATCGATATAATATCTGCTTTTTGTTCGCTTTGAGCACTCACTTGATACTCTGAGAGCAAATCCTTCCCGAGTTGACTTGCCGTGGTGCCCATCTGGAAAGTTTCGACTCTAAAACTCCACTTTTGTTGTTGTAAATAGTTGCCCGCCGAACTTCCCGAAGTAGAAAACTGAAGTTGGTTTTGCGTAGCCTACTTCCGGGATCTGCCTTTGGCTACGTAACGGTTGCCATAGTGACGTTCTTGGTCGACAACCGACAGGTGGCAGCTGGAGCTAATAAAATAAAAGCGTAGTTTAGTGTAGTTTTAACTTTTTTCACCCCACTGTAATAATAATAATAATAAATAATACATTTTATGTATATGCCCTTCGTCAGCAGGACTCAAATGTGACTACAGCTTTAGAAACAAAAAAGCAAACAAAAATATCAAAACATTCTAAAAGCGACCAAAAAGCTTTGTCCTAAAAAGAAAAAAATGTCCTTAAGACCTTTTTAAAAAGACGTACAGTGAATTGTGTTGCCTCAGGTGTCCACGGGGTGAAGGCAGTCCACAGACGGGGGCGCAGCAACAAAAGGCCCTTATCCTCTTTAATGCTTCCGAGTCTGCGGTTCTGGGATGGTTTGGTGAGGTGATGGTTGGGAGTGGGTAGGTTAGCGTGAGCGCCGATCGTCCAGCACAAGACCCTCAGCAGGAACCTCCGAGCCAAACAGGCTCTGCTGTCCGCCGAGTGTTTATATTCTCGACCGCTCTTCCGTACCCTACTGATCTCCTTTGGCAGGCAGTCCAATCCCCACCGCCTGCCATTCCACTCCTTCCTCCTCTCTAGCATTTGATAACGCTGCTCCGGGCAACTGCGCCACCTCGGGCAGCTGATACCCCGGCCACATTCGACACGCCCCTGAGAGCAGATTTGAACGTCCAGTCGTAGAGAGCCGACAGAGAGCCGCACCTCGAGACACCGCTTCTTCCATCTGGCTGACTGTGACGCCCCGCCCCGTCCTTTTCGCGGCCATGCCAAGGAGCCTCCGTCCCTACATCCCAAAACCCGACCCCAAACGCTACACCAGACAACCTTCCTTCTACACTGCTCTACGGTGAAGTTTTTTTCTGCTCTCGAGCTGTCTGTCAGTTTATGGCACCTATCAATTACCGAACCTTATCCCTATACCTCGCCTCTCTAAGGTAAACCAGCTGCATT